CCCTATAATATTAAGAACAGAGTAACGAGTTTTCTGAGCTAGGCCTTCACTTGTCCGTAGAGAAAAGTAAAACTCGTCTAGTGAACGTCAACAGCTGCGGTGAGAGACGATTGACTACTTTTATAAGCGCTAATCAGGGTCAAGGCACGTCGACCGACTGGTCTCCACTTGGACTGCTCGTACGGCGTACGCTGTAAGATGGGAGAGGGAATCAATTTGATGCAAAAATTTGTAAATCAGGTTTTAATCGTGATCTCTCCATCACAACAGTTACAATCCCATAAAGTCAGAAACTCATAGATTGCCTCTTGCTGAAGAACTGGGTACGCAGAACACGCTTTGTCAGTGCGTCAACGCCCACTTGACGTCACAAGTCTCAGTTCTTCTTTGTCTACGCCTCTTGCCTTCTCTGCACTCATAGAGCTGTTAGGAGGGTGGTAATAGGACGTTTGGGAAACGTCTGCCGAAAAGTTCTCACAAGATTTTCTCATGACCCGGAACTCTACAGAAGTATTCGGATGACTGCTTTGTTGTCAGGCTCAAGAATCCGGAGGATCCAGGGTACCACGGCCCATCGATCAGATCAAAGCACATCTTTGCTATTTTTTTACTAGCCTGAAGTGTTGGAACTAGGTGTGCACTGACTCGCTTGGAAAAAGGCTCCAAGGTCAAATACGTTTCGATAGGCTCCGGTAAGGTAAGGCCGGCATCAAGATTAGGTGGGCCGGACGCGTTATGTGAGATAGTGATTAGCGTTTGACTGAGGCGATTACATAATGGATTCCTCGAAACGTCCAAACCCAGAATGGCCGCCAACGCACTGATCGGTTCCCCTGAGAGAGAGGAATGCTATGCCTCGAGCCCCAGAACAAGAGCGCGATCCATTGTACTACATTGGCCCGCGACAGGGACAAATGAGACGTTACTGGCTCCCGCTGTGGAAATCGATAAACAATAGTACGACAGGCGTACAGGTGAAAGTCCGCGGTTTACAAAAACTGCACATTTTTGTATGAATAATGCAAGGTCAGCGGCAGAAGAGCGCAATATAAGGCCACATACAGAGGCTAACCCGAGATAAAAAGGCTCACCCCACCGTTATCAATAATCCCCCAAGTTATCCGCTCTGGGTAAACATCGAGAGGGTATGGTGGTAATCGAGAAGAGTCCATTCTATGTTACCGACATCACAGAGTGGTGACCACTCGTCTCTATACCAACAACCTATACAATCTGTCTATCGTTGAGTCGT